TTAAACAGTAATACAATTTACCTAAAAAACAATCAAGATCTGCATAAACCTGATGATAACAACATAGTTCAAATATGATCTTGTCAAATATCCTTAATTAAGAGTAAGGTAAACTCTTCCAGATATGGGTGGTTAAGTCATGGTCTCATCTCTTGACTCATTCTTCTGTTTCTTTATTCTCATCTTCTCGGTGTCTAACTAATGTTGTACAGCACCAATGCTCTTCCTAATTGTAATCAAGTGATTTCTATTTCTGCTGCTTCACACATGTTTTTCTGACCTCTGAAGTTTTCAGGTTGAGTATCCTTTTCTGGAACAATTCATTTTTCACTCACTTTGTTCATGTTTGCTCACTCTGTATTTTTCTCAAGCCCTTTATTTTGTACTTTCTGGCTTTTTAAGACATTGTCTTTCAAAAAACACTTCTAGATTGATACTAAAGAACTACATACACTTCTGCAAAAAAACCAAAACCAAACAAAACCCCAAAAAACAAAACCCCAAACAAAAAAACTTGAAAAATAACCTACAGCAAAATCCACCTACAGTGCATATGGGTCTATGAAAGCTATGGGTCTACAATTTTACTCAAAAGGGGGAAAGTTGATATAAAGTTTACAAAAGAGTTATCATACAAAAAAACCTAAATATAACGAATGACATTTGTGGTCTATTTCTGCTATTGAATGCATACTTATTTATATAGCAGCCATTTGTATTCATCTCTATTTTCTGAGTGGAGAAGATTAAATGTGGAGAATTAAGTCAAACCATGCCAATAACACAAAGTGCTAATCAACACAAGTGGAAATGAATGACAATCAGTTCAAAAGAAGGTCCAATAATTTGTTTGAGAAAAAGGATTAGCCAAATGCCCTAATAGGAAATTTGACTTCATGGTTTAATTTCTTATTTTTGAGGGGAAAAAAAAATCTCTAAATGATCCTAAACCTTATCATGAGATAGTAAGATGGTACACATACGTTTCCAATAATGCTAACATATGTTAATTTGAGAAAAAAAGCATTGAGTTACAGGGAAATAATAACCTGTGTGAAAGATTTGAACTTAAAAAAAGTTTTTTTGATATAACAGGGAGGATGGCAGCTAAATTATTGGCCAACATAATGTACACTGGCTCAAGTTTGAATTATCTTGGACAATATGGCTAGTTCTTGTGGCCCAACCAAGGTTCATATAATCAACAACACAGATCCTGTGACCTCAACTTGTTAAGATAATATTTTCTACCTTTTTTAAAGGAAATAATATTTAATGTAACCTCAGACAGATATGAAAGTATAGTAATATTAATTTAAATTAAAAATTTTGCTATGGCTTTAAATATATCTTTACGAAGATTTGGTTCATTGTGAGAATTTTTGTCTGCTTTTAAAGTACTTGAAATTTATTGCATGTGATTTTATTGAAATGTTTAGAGGAATTTGAATAAGATTCTAATCAATTTTTAAATGGTTGAATCTGATTTATTAAATTTACAAGTTTTGCTTTATTAGCTGCCTAAATGGTGTATAAACGTTTAGAGAAATCGCATTTATTAGAGTTGTATGTTTAACAAATTGGGCACTAAACAACGAATAAATAGCAGCAAACATTATATTTCATGCACCAAAGTCTCTCAGGCAAAATAAATTTAGAGAAACCGGGTGTGGTACTACACACAAGGTAAGTACCCACAGTTTGACATGCATTATTACTCTAGAGACTTTAATTTTGCTTTCATTTTCTGGAAGTAATTTATAAAATATCAACTACAGATAATATACTCACTTTGTTATGTTTATTTCTAAGATTGGTCTAACCTCACTTAACCTGTGCATGTTTATCCTGAAGTAGAAAATTGCAGCTTTTAATTTCAGTTACGCTCGAGTCAATACTGACCATCTTTTGTTTCCATTACTGCTATACTAAGGATCCTTTGTGGGTACTCTAGATGTGCAGGTTCAAATATATGCCCTCATGGTGTGGTTGAAAGAAAGAGCACCTAAACAGATTGTAACTAGGTACATATGATCACTCTCATTCCCAGTTTTCATCTTTAAACGTGATATTAATTCTGATATGTTTGGTTTTTTAACTTAAGCATAGATAACTTCTTCTAGGTATTGGCTATATCCAGGAGCTATAAAAATAATACTGACAATTGTAATGAGAGCCTTAAAGGAGATGATATTGTAGTTAAACTAGAACCAGAAGACTTGTGTTTAAATCTCAGGCCCACTACTACCTAGCTGTATAACCTTGGGCAAGTTAAGTAACCTGTTTGTGCTTTTAGTTAAAAACTGTAGAATAGGGGTGATAGTATCTGTGTCATAGGGGTGTTGTGGAAATTATACGAGTGCGAAAAACTACCTGATACATGGTAATTGTTCAGTAAACGTTAGCTACTGTTATTAAAAGCTATTGAAGATGGGTCAGACGATAATGTTATATGTTACAAATGAATGGTTTTACCTTGGGTGATTTAAAGTCTTCTCCAGAGGCAGGGTGAAAAAAGATTTGGATAATCTATTGCCTGAATGTCACTTGTTCCCATTTTTCTTTGTACCGTGTCCACTAAATTTGGTATAGTTAACAGCAAACACTTTGCCCATAAAGCCAAAGTATTCTGCAATCAGCTCTGCTATACCGATTTCATGAGTATTGAGCTCTTCAACCCAGAATACCAATTGTGTAAAAAGTGCAATGAATTCCAATTCACTTTTGATTGCAATGATCTGAACCAAACACGGAATCCAGTTAATCCAAGATGATGTTCTTTATAATTTTGTGCATTACATGATCTGCACGCCCAAATCAGGAATATCTTTAAATTTAACATATTTGCCTTTTCAGAAAACAGAATTCTTTTAATTAAAAACATTTTTAAAAAGTTCAGTGTGTGTAATTGTTAACACCTGCTATGTGTTACCAACAGATGTTTCCTACTTACCTAAGGGAACTGTTATAATTATTCTATAAGCTTATTGGAATGGCATTTACCAAGATAGTTAGGAAAGTTTAGCTGTGAGTTTGTATTGATATTTGGTATTTGTTAAAACCCCTTGCCCTATTGCTGTCAATTCTCACAAACCCACCCCAACCCAGTCTGCCAAATGCAGAAATGTTGTTGTGGGGTACCCAAATGTTTACAAAACTGGCAATGATCATACATATTTTAGTCTTCATGAAAAGTTGCAGAAATTAATTTATGTGTATACTAAAGCATTGTAGAATTACTTTGAAGTATTTTGGCAACTAATCTTTGTAGTGTTTAACATGGAAATCTTAACTCTTGATTATAAAAGTAAAAAATATACTTTTCCAAAAGAGATTAAAAAATTTACCTTCTAATAGCTTGGCTTTGAAGGAAGCTAAAGTAAAAACGAGAGTTTATTTTTCTGGGCATTGATAAGGTCTTATAAGTAGTGGGCTTTCTGAATTCTTCATATATGATACAAATCACACAATTACATACAGGCATGTGTTAAATATGACACTAGTTTCAGCCAAATAATGGACCAATTGCAAACAATGAATAAATAGAGAAGCAGCTTCATTTATAACCGCTGTTTCAACAGAGCTCTATTATAATCATAGCGATCTGACGGTGACTCATTAATTAATTGATGTTCTTTTTTATTATGTGCTATTGGGTTAATGAATAATTTGTGTGAGATAATTCTCCGAATACATTGATTACTTGAGATATTTTCTGGGGCTTTCATACCAATGACATGCAGCAGAAAACTAGTTGCTTTTGCATGCTGGTTATTAGCAGGCTTGAAATAAGATGAGTACAAACCAGCCAGGCTCGGTGGCTCAGCCTGTAATCCCGCACTTTGGGAGGCCGAGGTGAGTGGATTGCCTGAACCCACAGGTTCGAGACCCGCCTGGGCAACTTGGCGAGACCTCATCTCTACAATAAATCAAAAAAATCAGCCGGGCGTGGTAGCGTGCACCTGTAATTCCGGCTACTCAGAAGGCTGAGGCGGAAGGATCGCCGGAGCCTGGCAGGTTGAGGCTGCGGTGGCCGGGAGTGGTCACTGCACTCCAGTCTGGGCAACAGAGTGAGACTCCAACTCAAAAAAAAAAAAGGATGAGTACAAATGTCTTCTGATGTAGGGGGTATCCCAAGTCTGCCCAATAGGAGGCTGAATGCTCAGGAAGAGCCTGTGACATAGTAGAGACTCAATAAGTGTCAACTGAAATAATGACTATATTAAACCTTTGTTTTCTAGTACCTTAAATTGTATTAAAACCTCATTTAAAAAAATATCTATAATAATGGTTTTAAGAAAAAGTAATGATCAAAAAGCCTTTTGCTAAAATTGTATTTTGTGCTAATGGCCTATTACAATAAACATGCAGATTGTTTTTGCAACTAACTGAAGTGAACACTAAACATGTTTGGCCTATATCATTTCTATGAAATTGTTTAAGTGATGATTCAGAGAGTGGTTTGCCTAAAGTGACAGTTAAAAGGAAACCACTAGTGTATGGCATGTTTTACTAGATATAATTTTCGGCGCCCTGTTTCAGTTAAGGCACAACATCTCTACCTTGAAAATGTAGCATTTAGTTGAGTTTTTGTTTTAATTCATTATGCAGGAAATAGGAAATTCAAAATTTAGTCTGAAAAGAGCAACACAGTTGCTTTCAGACAGAAAGATCACTTAAAATTTGTATAAATGTACAAAATTACACCCAGCAATTGCTACCTTCATTTTGACATTTTTATTTTCTTCATAAAAGTAAATGGCTGTAAACTACCTAGTCTGGAGATCTTAAATATAATATTCGGAGTAAGCATTTGAGGTACTTTTGTCTGTGCTAGTTATGATTTACCTTTAGGAAGTAAATGTCTTTACACACCTTTTTTCTTTTTCACAGACCTAATGTATGCTTTCTAGATATCATCTTAGATGTTGCCAATTACGTGGAATCAAATAGTATAATACCCCTTTTATTAAAAACATAAATCCAAATATTAAAAAAAATGAATGAAAGAATTCAGCAGATATTTATTAAGCAAGATGAAAGTGAAATTACAAACACAGGTCAGCTTTTAAACTCAGTTAGCACTCTGGCGGAGTGGAGGTGGCTGGTCCTTCATCATAGGAAGCCTATGTGAGATGCATCTTAGGGAGGGAGCTTGTGCTGCTTCAGAAATTAAAGCTCCCTCTGAGGTGTCCTCCTGGAGGCATCAGGTAACAAGCTAAGTGACATCAGGGCTATACAACACAAAGAGGAAAGATGACAACAATTCAGGGGCTTTGAGTAGTCAAGACAATTAGCTTAGTACTTCAGGTCAAAAAAGGCTACTATTTATGGGCAATTAACTGTAAAATGACCTACAGCTGAACAATTATTCTCATCTTGTTTCACAATTTCATGGAGATTAAAGATAATCTAAACAGATTAAGGCCTTAATCTGTAATCCAGGTGAGTAATTTTGTTTGTAGTAAAAAGCATCAGGATTAATTCTCCAAGTATTAAGTAAAAGAAAAAGTAGTGAAAACCTTGTTTGATCTTCTGGTGGCAAGGATAGTTGAACAGCTTCTGTTTGTTCCCAATTTACATGTATTTTGACATATAGATAAATATATGCAAAACCATTTAAGTATTAAAAAGATCATTTGAAAATGGTGGTGACAATTAAAATTTTACATTCACATGAATTTCAAGTAACTTATCACTTATCTCCCCCATTCCCATTTTTATTTTGTTTTGCTTTGTTTTTATTTATGTAAATCTTTCCTCTTCACGAAACAACTATAAGGTTCTAAGACTAAAATCATAGTTATTTTGTGGGTCCCAAATAGCTACTTTTGAAATTCTTTCTTTAGTATATCTCAAATTTGGGGGACATGTGACTTCAAGACTCTTAACCATGAAGTATTTGTAAAAATACATATCATTCACTTTTCACAGAACCATTTTCTTAAAAATAAGAGGCAATATCCAGGTTCACATGCATGTTCATAATAAAGCTTTGTTTTAAACAACTCAAATCCACACGAGCATTATTTTTAGCTTAACATTTTGGCCCCAAACCAAGAATTCAGGTATAACATTTAATTTTCATCTGTAATGCATATATTGGCAGGACAAAATATATATGCAAATAACACTGGAAAATATTGTTTCTATACAAGTGAACAAGAAAAAATACAGAGAAACAAAACCCCACAGCACTCAGCTTGCTGTAGTGAAAATATGGTTCATTGTGTCTGTGCAGAATTAAATTTGTTCATAAGTTCTATTACAGGGAGTAAAAAGCAAAAAATCAAAGTGTAGGTGACCCAGAAGAGCGGATCATATTCTCATTTTTATTTCCCTAATTGAAATTTAAATAATCTTTCTCCATAATTTCTGTTTCTAGAGTTTTCTTCTTTATCTCTTATCATGTAGGCAAGAAATGGAATGGCAGATTTCAGCCTAAGTGTAATGTATTCTGAGTTAGTAATTACTTAAAGCAATCAGAAAGTAAGATACATCAAATTAGAGTATTCACTTTTTAAGCATTAAAATAAATGGCAGGTAAATACAGAAAAAATATACAATCACTAATTCTCAGTTTTTTATCACTTTGTTTTTCTTCTTCTAGAAGATTTTATGAGCTTTATGTTGCTCTGATCAAAAGAAACCTCACTACTCAAATACCATTATAGCTTGAATGTGCATTATCATGATTTCAGTAGATTCACACTCAGATCTTTTCAGTGCCATGCATTTATTAGCCATAAAGTTATTAAACCCTTAGCTCCTGTGAAGAGATCTGGGCAAAATTTATACAGGAAATTTATCATTTAAAAATTATCTAATTGTGGTAACACTTTTTAAAAGTAACCCTTTGGAAAAATTTTACATGATACCCAAAGGCACTAGTCACATAAGGGGGTGTGGCTGAAAAACGCAAAACAAAACGGTTGTGTAGGTAAAGAACACACACAAAAAAGATATTAAAAGAATAACTGTTAAGCTTTAAATTTATTCTAAAAATGGCACTTTTCATGTTGGTATAAAATGAAAGTGCTTTAAGATGAAATTTTTATGCATTTTTTAAAGCTGATTTTTAACCCCCTGAAAATAGGGGGTTATAACAAGAACACTGATAGACTCTAAATCATAGCGGCAATAAGTAGTGGATGTCACTAAAATGCTTTGTGTGTGTCTTTATTTTTTAGTACTTTTAATGTTGATAGACTTGCTTTATCTATCTGTGTATCATTAGTGAGATTTGCTCTTCAGTTCTTTACTAGAAAGTTACAGCTCATTTAAAATAGCTGGTAGATACAGAAAGCATAAATATACAGTAAGTTTAAACACTGATTGTACTAAATGCAACAATACAAAGAAGCAAACAGAACACAAATGGTAACACAATAAAACTGTATTACATTTGTGCTTCAAATATTACAATACATTATATACAATAGTCCAAAATAAACATCTCATGCCAAGTGACACAAAAACGAATAGCAAGCAAAAAAATCCAGCAATATGTACATTACTTTTTTCTTTAATAATAAACATTCAACTCTGAACTGGGGCAATTTCACTACATACAGATGCAGTCCGCCTTTTATTCCATATAACCATCCTGCTTTCCTATATCTACGCTATTCAGTAGGTTCCTGTGTCAATTCTTATATACACGTGGAGCAAAAAAGATAAAAGAATGTAGTGCTTTGTATTCTTAATGGGGTGATGTTGATAGATCAGCGAACCTGGGGTGCATAACCTTCTTTCATTAAACCTTCTTCGTAGTCCGTCTGGCAAAGGATCATGTTATTCTTTAGGAAAAATTTGTCTCCAACACAAAATCTGAAAATATTTTAAATAATAAAATGTGTTAAAACCACTTCACTCAGATCTATAGATGTGAACATTAATTTTCCAAATAATAATTAATAGTGATAATTCCCAGAATCTGAAAACTTGGCTTAGAAAGTTATCTTTATTATCAAAGTCAAGCCATTTACCATTTTAGTGAAACACTGCACACAGCATTTGAAATCCTACCTTTATATACAAAAAACTTAGAAACATTGCAATAAATACTTTGGGCACCAAAGGTGACTTCTTTTTTTAACCACATTGCAAGGAAAAAAAGAACTGATCTATATTTATACTCATTAAAATAAAAGAAAAAATGATAATATTTCACTGCAGTGATTATGAAAGACTTCATCGGTGGCCATCAAGACACTTAATAAAAAAGTAAAAGGCATTAAAATGAATCAAACAATTAGAAAATAGTCCACTTTAAAGCTTCCCACTTAAAGTTCCCTTTTACTCTGTTATTAAAATGTGATTAAATTCCAGTTATCTGGAAGTGATCATTATGAAGTGAGAGCTGCTTTAGCACCAGACTCTGGTGCTGGGCATCCATATTCCTTTGTTTGCGGCATGTTCACCATCTATGAAATAGTAGACATCATTCTTTTTTTTTTGAGTTGGAGTCTCACTCTGTCTCCCAGACTGGAGTGCAGTGGCTGCTCCCGGCCACCGCAGCCTCGACCTGCTGGGCTCCGGCGATCCTTCCGCCTCAGCCTTCCGAGTAGCCGGAATTACAGGTACGCGCTACCACGCCCGGCTGATTTTTGATTTATTGTAGAGATGAGGTCTTGCCAAGTTGCCCATGCGGGTCTCAAACCTGCGGGCTCAGGCAATCCACTCACCTCAGCTTCCCAAAGGTGCAGGATTACAGGCTGAGCCACCGAGCCTGGCTGTAGACATCATTTCTAAGAGTAGTTCCAATTTTACCAAAGGGAGTAACCTAAATGAACTTCTTCATATTGATGTGATAAATAAGACTAGTTTAAAAAGTTAATTATGCATTTTATTTTATAAAGCATTGTTTAATGTGCAAGATTGTAATGTTTTTAATAAGTTCCCTTTTTGTATAATTTCCCAATGGTGACACTTTGGACACAATTAAGGTCAGAAATAAATGCTTTTTCTTTCCAGTACATTTAACAATAAAGTAACTCTAGGGAGATCTGTATATATATTTAATTGTAACAATTTAACCTTCAAACAGTGATGTCTGGTAGAGTTGACCCAGTAAAACTACTTGTAATTATACAAGTTGACCTCACTGACCTTTGATAGTGGTCTCTCTTTATCAGATAGTCAATTTCAAATGATGTTCAAGCAGAAATCGTAGTGGATAGATTAAATTGTGTAGTGAAAGCCACCCTTTAACGTTTTGTGAAGTTGAAGGTTTAAATGAGGAGCAGTTGGACTGATTTACATTTGCAAAGATTGGAATGCTAGACAAACAGTGAACCTATTTATTTTCCAACTGGGTAGCTTTGGAAATTTATCCTTATACTAGCTAAGTAGATAGAGGGGAAAATAGTGTAATAAAAAAAGTAGATTGAAAAGAATTAGCTTTCCTCTTAAAGGAAAATTGGTCTGTTTATTTGTGGAATTTACTTTTTTTCCCCAGGATTACTGCCTGCTGATGATGTTGATTGAAAGTACAGACTATGCACTGATCTTGAAATCCTGGGGGTTGTTTGTGGTCAAAGCTACTGGATACAAAACATTCAAGTTTGGAGCTGTAAGTGTATTTTTTTTATTAGTTGTAAACTGTACACTTTAAATGTTGCGCTTAAAAAATGGTGTTTGTACAAACCAGTTTTTGTAGATATCCTGATTACAAAGATATGCTTACTAAAAGGAAATATATCTTTTGTTGAACAGGCCTATATAGTCAAATTAGATACTTATCTTTTATGTGAAATTATATAACATGTAGGATATAGTTCATTACTGTTTAAAGTTATTAATTAATGTTACTGTTAAAATTAATTTCAATGAACGAATAAGCTGATAATAAATTATCACATCAAATAAAACACTCGTGTTTAAATAAAACACTCATGTTCTAGCTGATGATACTGAATCATTATTTTCTAAATATGAACTAATCTAGAATTACTCTTTTTAAATATCATATTGCCAAAATTTTCCCTTAATTTTGAATCAAGCCCCCAAATTATTTTGACCCTTAAATAAAAACATGTTTTTGTTGTGTTTTTTTTGTGTCATGTCATTATGTCATAACAATCTTACCTTGAGAGGCCTTCAAATTTAGAAAATTTTTATTTGAAGGTTTATAAATTCAAGGTAATTATAGTGAGAAGAACATGAAGCCAAGAGCCTGGGGATCTCATCCTGAATCCTGCCTCTATACCCTAAACCTGGGGTTCATCCTATCGCTGTCTCAGTTCCCTGCATGTGACAACTCCACAGTTGGATGGATTATAGGAAGTTCCAAATGGAAAGTGTATGGCAAGCAGAGGGGTATATTGCAAAGAATAGGGTTCAATCCAAGTCTTCCTCTTACGATAACTGAAAATGAAACATCAGTTTTTCTTATCTGTATTATCAGTCACTCTTGTAGTTTTGTAGGCAGAGTAGAAATGAAATAGTCTTACCTCAGTAGTTGGAATGTAGGTAAAATAGCAGCCACCTTTTACACTTACTGTGAGCTAAATGCTAAGCATGTATATACATGATCACATTTGTTCCTAACATCCAACCTAGAAAGTAAGTATTATCGTTGCCTTTATCAAAACAAAGACTTAAGGCTCCCTCTCAGAATTTAAAAAATCTGCCCAAGAGTCCATATTCCATAGTTAGAACAGATGTGATAAAGGAAGGAAAATAACCCAAGTCTCTTTGGGTTATTACCGTGCTTTTACCTGGGAGCAGTGAAGCATGTAAACTACAAGGATAACATGAAGATTAAACAGTTATAGTCACAGGCTTTTTGCATTACTATTATTTCTTTGCATAACTCTTAAAAAGTCTGGCTACCATTCAATGAGAGAGAGAGAGAGAGAGAGAGAGAGAGAGAGAATTTATCTAAAATATTTCTATCTGAAATATTATGTTACTAATATATTGTCAACTGGATAAAGTAAATTTTATGTGCACTTCAATTTGGTCTTAAAGGTCAAGATGAAGCAGAACATGAATGAAGAATGTCATACTTGCACATGACAAACAAAATAGCCTTGAAAACTGTGGTCAAGAGCAGATTATGGTTATTATGCAGTTAAGATTTGTATTCTTCTTAAAATGTTTCATATATAAGCATAAAGAAATTAGAGAAACAGCAATGCGGATATTAAATGCTTAACAAAATATACTGTGACTTTGTAAGAAATGCTAATTTTCAATATTATACAATCAACTCCTTAGGAGATTTAGTACTTGCAGAAAAAATATTGTAAAAGTAGTGATGGCCAGAGAATACTGTAAGTATATTAGCAGAACAGGTTGAGATTCCTGAAAATAAATGGATAATCTTCCTTGTAATCTAAACCTAATTATTTGTGGTATGGTCAGTTCAATTAGTTTTGCCATTGTTAAGGAATAAAAAGATGGCCAATCAAATTGTTAAGACATTTAATCTTGAATTTTGGAATTAATAATAGTTTTAATTTCTAGATATTTTTGAGTGATTCTAGGTGACTTCGTATGATCTTAGATACTTGAGAAGTATAGAAAATTAGTATAATTTAATACATCATCCTTATAAAATATGGTGCTTAGAGTAGTTTAAGCAAGTTATCAAAAGCCTGTGCTAAGAAACCTCCATTTGTAACATTAATTTTAAGAAATGAAAATGTTAACTTAGTTATCTTATTTCCTTAAGGTTAGTGACTGCCAATTATGATCAGTTTCTATTTTTGCAACACTTTAATAAGAAAGAGGATTCTATCTGTATTTCCAATGTCTCGACTTCCCTATTCCACATTCTCAGTTACTATAAAATGGAGATTTTGCCACTGTACTGTTTTCAGTAAGAGGTACGGGTTACATACTACACATTTGTTTTTTGTTTTTTGGGGTTTTTTTTGAGTTGGAGTCTCACTCTGTCACCCAGACTGGAGTGCCGTGACACGCTCCCTGCCACTGCAGCCTTGACCTGCTGGGCTCTGCGATCCTTCTTCCTCAGCCTTCCAAGTAGCCAGAACTATAGGCATGCGCTATGGTGCCCAGCTAATTTTTTATTTATTGTAGAGATGAGGTCTCGCCAAGTTGTCTGGGCAGGTCTTGAACCCACGGGCTCAGACAATCCACTCACCTCAGCCTCCCAAGGCGTGGGATTACAGGCTGAGCCACCGAGCCCAGCTCATCACCACACATTTGTAAACTAATTTACTGGTTTCCCCTCTGATGGCCCCATAGTCATTATATATCTTATCCCTAACAATCATGTCTTTCCCAAATTCACAACCCACCCCAAATCCTGGTATTAATTATTCACTGTCTACCTTGTTTTAACTCTACTATATGTATTCACATTTTTATGCTCTTAGTCGGAAAAGAAAATACCCCTCTTTTTTTTTATTAAGCAGAATTTATTGAGAGGACAGAAAAGCTCCCACAGTGGGAGGGGACAAGAGGGGGTTGCCCAGAAAATACCTCTCTTAAAACAGGCCTGAGTCTAGAGGGTGAGATCAGATTCCTTGGGTTCATATCTTGAGTCTACCATTTCCCAACTGGATAACCTTGGGCAAGCTACTTGAATTATTTGTACTTCAGTCTTCTCATCTGTAAAATGAAGCTAATAATAGTACCTACTGATGGGTCATTTTGAGTATTAAATAATACATGTAAGACACTCAGAGCAGTGTTTCATGTATGACCAGTACTATGTAGAATTTTCTATCATGTTTATTAATGATCATTTTTTCACCTTTAAGTTGTTCAGTCAGAAATATTTCTCTTTTTTCTTCTGTCTCTCAAATTCTCAAGAGTTCTTTAGTGCTACTCCCTTCATTAACATTCCCTGACTATGTCAACTCATTTATTTTGATCCTTCTCAAAGTACTTATTTATTGGTGTATCGTTAGTTTTGGCATTTCAAAATTTCTCATGAATGTGTAACAGGTTTCTTAATCTGGACAGCAATTTTATTTCCCCCAGGTTCCTGCTCTACTCTCTACTCTTCCTTATGCCTATCAAACTCCTCCTCTAATCTCTGAACATGCTGGGCTGCTTTTCATTTACTAAACACATCAAAAGCTTTCACATCTCCATATCTTTGCGTGTTGTTCCATTTGCCTGGAAAATTCTTTCCTCACTGCTCCCTGGCTCCCTCATCTGCCCCAGCCCCCACCAGACATATTTCCTACACCCCAACCAGTTTTAGGGAATTATTTCTTAAGACCCAGCACATTAGCCCTTTGATGCTTCCCGAACACTTCAAGAAGGATGGATCTCTCTTCCCTTAGTATAGATCTGCTTAGCATCGATTACACTCTTCTGTGAGTCTTTGATGTCCCGTCTCTCCCACAGTCTAAACACATCTAAGAAAAGTATCCCCCTTAGCTTCCACAGAGCCTAGCACAGTGCTTTTATTCTTTAATAAAATGAGACAATTATACATATTTGGGAAAATTTCATTGTGAACAAGCTTTCCCCCTCTTTTTCTATAGAACCATCATTTAGTTATGAGTTTTCAAAGGAGAGGAGGTTTATTTACCTTTAAGAAATTATCGTCTTCTACAGAATTTTTCTATCCTGAATGAGGTTTAGGATAACATAAAAGAAGTTCAAATTAACCCTCCTCTGATTTCTTTCAAAATAGAGAAACAAAAGAATTTTAACCCAGGACTCACATTTTAACCCTACCCCTCTAAAAAGGGCATTTAGGATCTATATAAAGTACAACCAATACTAAAAGTTTATTATTACTATTGTTTTTAAAAAACATTTTGAAATACTTTAGATATTAATAATATTTTTATTTAAAAGTTAGGATAAAGTGACTGTTCAATAAAATTCATAAGCATTTGCAATTCCATAAATTCTGATGTCAATAAAGTTTGCAAAGATAAACTACCTATAAATTACCTATTTGCCTCGTGTTTCATTTGAAAGGTGCAATACTGTGACAATGATTTGGTTATAGGAAGCACAGGTTACTGTGGAATATGGCTTTATTGGAAGGGACTGAAGCAACTCCAAAGTAATAGGTGCATTTCCTATACTGAAAACTTTCTGTATTCAGAGTAACAAAACGTGTCTGTTTTGCTTGACTGATGAAGATTAGCTGACTTCTCGCATTAAAGAAGTTTGTCTTGTAGGGGCTGAAGTGACAAGACAATAACTAAGTGCTAATTGTGCATAACCAGCACTAAAGATATGCAGTCCCATTATGGCATGTAATAAATGAAGCGAACACAGAAATATATTAGGTACTTTAATAATGATACTAGAATAGTATTTTGCAGCAATAAGAATGTGAACAGTTTTAGAGACAAAATTTAGGAGTGTTTGTCTTACATGACTGACTTCTACTGAGGAGACAGACTTAATTGTGAATGCAACTTTTTATTTCAATGGTGAAATAAAATTGATATATGATTTGTAAATAGCATTAACAACTTACAATTACTTTGCATCATAATAGAGTTTAGACTGGGTTTATCACTTGAATGATGTTTTAATTTTCTATGTGGAACATGGATAAAATAGGTAAGCCTACCTAATAGAAAAATGGACAAAGGGCATAAATAGGTAAGTTCCTAAGAGAAGAAATACCAAAGGACCTTTAGTAATCAAATAAATGACAATTAAAAATTATAATGAGATACTATCTTTTGTCCCTCAAGATGACAAGATTTTTTTAAAGAAATAATAATTCCTAGTGTTAAAGTGAATGTGAGGGAATGCATATGTTTATACATTTTTGCTATGAGAGTAATTGGTATAACTTTTCTGAAGATCATTTTGGCAACGTATAAATATAAGCCTTCAAATGTTATATATGTTGTCTAATTAATTATGCTTCTGTAATTGTATCCTGGCAGAGATATGAGCATTTATTTCTTCATAGAGTCCATATAATGTTAATAAAACTGATAATACAACACAAAAACTTTTGAAGAAAAAACTTACACATCAGATGATAGAAGACTGATTTATATGTGAAGCTCTATCCATAAAATTGAACAAAGGAAAGCTTAAAATGTCTTGATTTTTAAGGGTGGTTAAAAACGCAAACAATATAAATTAAGTGAAATTGCAAGTCTAAATATCAAACATCAGAATTCTTCCTTGTTACTTTTCTTGAAGTTGATTAAATGTGATTATTATATATATATATATATATACTATATATAATTTGACATATATACATAGAAAAATGTATCGTTGACTATACACCAAAGTATTAAAATATTTTATTTTAGAATAGTGAGACATGGGGCAATGTTATTCTTTATCATTTTCAACTTTCCAAATTTTCTATTATAAGTAGAAAAGCAGCAAATTTATGATTGCATAAAGATAACTGTGTTGTTAGTGACTGCTATTAGTGAATCAGTGTGACAACTAAACAGAAGTATTTTAAATTTACTATTAATACACCTTTAAATATATACAGGACATGCACATATGCATATAAACATGTCTATATAGATATGTAAATATTTGTGTTTGTGTATACTTATGCCTAAAAAAAAACCGACATGTGCATTTGCCAATTTATTTTTGGCTAAATGTCACCTTAGTCTGAAATAACTTACTTCCGAGCATTTGTTAGGAAGAGTCAAAATGTTGTTTGAAGACATCTTAAATTTTTGAGTAAATATTATTTTTCTTTTTTTCAAAGTTTTCAAACAAAGTTTATTAGAGAAAGAAAAGAGAAAAGACAGGTTGACATGCCAAAGCTGGCACGGGTGAAAGACATTGCCTAAATACTATATCATAAAGTGTATTGAGCCAATACAAAACATAATATTTAACAAGAGACACTACTGAGATATAAATTTTATGGATAAACCAGGTTAGTAGAATATTATTTAGTAAAAGTAAATTGTAACTATAAAAAGAATCTATTGTGTTTCTGGTACTAATATAAATTATTTCATTTAGTTTTCAAACTCTGAAATATGAGTATTAGTTTATCTACTTTATGGATGTAGGAAGCAAACTAAGAGATTAAGTAACATGTTCAAGATCACCATGCTAATATCATGGTGATATAATTTGAATCCAGTTCTTATTATAAGTATCATACTCTTTCTACTATTCTATAGGGCCCATGAGAAGATTGTGCATCAAGCAATATCTTTCAGGGTAAATTACTATACCTGAGAACTTCATACAATTAATATTTATTATCATATACTACATCCAGGTGTTCTCACAGAAATTCTCACTGAATTTATTTTCATTAAAATCCATTAAGTACTGTGTACTAATTTTTAAAATACTATATTTTTAGATATGTTTTAATATCCTAATATCCTTTGCATTTGTCACAACAGTTGACAGTAGTTTATAGTTTCCACTAAAAAACAAAGTTATAGCTTTCAATAAAGAAACTGGTATTAAATCATAATATTTTTGAGCTAAAAGAGTTCTCTGAGATTGACTAATCCAGTTCCCATATGTTACAGATGAAGAAAACAAACAGAAAAACCGAGGCCCCGAGAGGCAAAATGTTTGTATTAAGATCACATAGCTTATTAGTGGCTGAGTACAGATAAGAATTTAGGTTTCCTGACTCCCATTGCAATACTCTTTCCAAACTTTCCTGTGCTACCTCTCCAATGCTGATAATTGTTTAATTATTAACTATCTCTAACCTTGTGTCCAAAGATATTTGAAACAACTTCAAAAGTACATACAGAACTGGGTTAAAATTCAAGATACGAAATCAAGAGATAGAGAAACTGAAAACTATCTTAAACTTACTTTTTAAAAAACAAAAACAATAAAGAAAAGAATGAATAATAAGAAGCATAGGAGTTTATAGAAGTGTTTCCATTTTCTGTCACTTGCTGTTCTGTTTTGTGTTTCTTTCAGGTAGAAGTTAGTCTTAAGACCTTTCTTCCCTTGATGGTTTGTTTCTGGCATGGAATTAATGTTTGCAAAAAATAAAAATGCTGAGATCAATTGCTTTAAGTAGCATGTACTAATATAATTCCTACCTATTAAATAAATAGCCAGCACAGAGAGGTTTGCCATTTTTTAGAAGCCAAAAAAGAAATCTGCTTACCTCTGATTACAAAGCTGACATGCAAAGCAGTCCAGGTGGTAAACATTGTCCTTGGCGCGCATCACCATCTCAAAGGCAGGGATGAGCTTACTACAGGCAGCACAGTTTCCTGTTACACCGAAGAGCCTAGAACAATAAACATTTTTTTTTTTCAAACTCTTAGAGGGAAATCTGAGATTGTGAAGAAAGAAGATGATAATATACCCTGTAAAGCTATCAATACATAATGCCTTATGATGTACACAAGTGCGTTTTATCTTAAGTGTATCCATAAATATCCTTCTGCAATACATTCTCTGTTGACCTTCCTTGATGAAAATCACATCTTGTTTGAAAAGACAAGGAAAAGAGAAATACATTAGGAAGCTTATATAACTGCACACAAACAGAAGTTACCGGGGGTGAATTCACAGCAAAAACCTATGTGTCAGAGTATATAGTTAATACAAAAGCAGTGCAACTTTCATCTTAATGTTATTTGTTAATTTTGTTGGAAAAGGAACCAACTAATGAATGACTCACTATTTTTTGACATCTAGTTACTAAGAGGTTTGCCGTTATTATTAAAAGTACATTATAAACAAACTATTTAAATCGTCAAAAAACATAGAAGCGCGTGCACCTTATGGCCTTATACCATAGTTATAGCTACGGTTATGTTATTCAAGTAGCACATTAAAGTAAATGAGGCTGTAAACCACGTATAGCTAGACCAGGAGCTGAAACATCATATACCATCAAAACTACTGGAGTTTTCTAGGATTTAAAAATAATTATTATTTGCTATAGGTTCCTGAAAGTAGTTTTAATGACCTAAAAAAGTACAAAATAAAATGTCTCTATCATTTCCTAGGGGGAGGAAATAAAATATTTTATCCAATTTTACTGGCAATATTTAAACCAAGTTTCTTTACAGTTGTTAATGGTGGTAAAGAATTACCATAAATAATATTCTGTGCATAGTAGTTAAGGCACTTTTTAACTAAGAAGCAAACTAGATGAAAAACACCACATCTGCCAGTTTTCTTTTTTCCCTAGCATCAGGCTGACAGAAGAAAAATATAATGGCTCTCACGGGAAAGACCAAATTAAAAGCCGTTCTAAACTAATGAATTCAAAGGTGCTATAGAGAAAACTCATTTTGGTTATAAAAATGTACTTTTAAAAAACTTAGCCTTTCATTGTTTTGAATTTAAGGATTAGGCACGAATGTGTGGAAGTCTCCTTACTATTCTCTATATACTCCAAGACAAGTCTTTTCTTAAGGCATGCATATTCATTTTCAAGTTTATAACTATTTTCTTTTTACCAAGCTAATGACAGTTGTTGGAAAGAGTTGAGAGAGTGGTTTCTAAGTGTCTGGCAAATGTGCAATGCATACTTATGCTCCTGTTTCTGCTAGATTGTCTCTTGAAGAACATAAGCGCCTTGAGGGTAGAAACTGTAAATGCTTTCCGAAGACTTTGCTAGCAGAGTCTGCATACTCAATAACAAGTAAGCAAGGGTTATATTCAAGAAGATTATATTCAAAATTGTTAAACACTTATCTTCCTTACATAATTTTTAAAACATTTTAGTATACCTTCTTAAAGGAATATATCCCAAATGACCTTGTGTCTCAGTTTGCAACCTTTATTTTGATAAATAATTTTTCTTTAAAAAACTTCATTGACAATATCATATCTCACACCTCCTACTGGCATCATTTAAAATGAAAGAACCACAAACTAAAGCTTTCGTCCTATTTTTTTTGTAAGCAGAATTTTTTAGTTTATTCTAACATTTAACATTTACTTTTCAGTGTACTTAATGTGATCTATTCAGGAGTCACATCACTTATACGTGCCATTGGTTTCTTCTGTTCTTTATTATTTTTGAGAAATAAAGAAAACTTAAAAGTTCTTTATTCCATGAATATAGATATACTTGTGGATATAAAATCTGGTTAGCATGAGATAAAGCCGTTTTTAAGAATTACTCAGTTTGCTCATATCTAATAAACATACACACACAATGCCATTTTGAAATTCTGGACATAGTTTCCCCCAATTTCAATTGCTCTCGCTAGCTGAGCATTTATCAGCTACCTGATTAGAATTTGTTTCCACACAAACCATTGATCATCAGCCTATTACTAGGCAAATGACAGTTAATTACCCACTACATTAACCACTGGGACCTGAGACCTGCTTCTGCTGCCATCAGTCAACATGATAAATGTGGCAAGTTCAGTAATGCATGGCCAGCCCTGAGCTGCCTGCTATACTGTGAACAACCCTCAATCTCACTTCCAGGCCCAGGAAAATCTATGGCAATCTGCATAATTACAAGCTCTAGGTTAATAACAGACAAATGATTTGTTGCATCTAAACAAAGTCCTTGGAATGGTCCTGGTCTCTGGTGGCTGCCCGTACGGCGGACTGCCACTAGTGTACTTTCCACTACAATGTGCACAAAACAGTTCTCTGACGTTATAGCCTTCCAATTTGTTGCCCTCCAATTTATGGATTCTGCATATGTGATTTTTAATCATTAAAGGACTCTTGAAGCAATATTATCTTAATTATTCTCTGCTGTAACCAGGGAATTAGGCTTCAGATAAAATTTTCTTCTTCCACGCACTTTCCCTGCCTCGCTGGAGGCTCCATCAGTTTCCATCTACACCTGGACTCTGAAATCCTAATGATGAATTATTGCCCCTTTTCCTAAGAGGGCGAACCTTACAAGGGAACATTTTACTGAACTGTCAGCTCCCAGACTGAGTGCGGAGATGCGGAAATCTGATCTAATTTACTGCAAAACGATGCATTTGTTAGACTTTTTCCTCAGTTTTGTCCAAGGATCAAGAGATCATTCTATAGCTGCATTCACATTCTCCTTTTTCTCAGTGGGGCAAATTCAAGATTCTCTGAGAAAAGAAACACAGTACTATTTTATGAAAGTGGGTTTTCAAACGTATAGTGTTATCTCTTGGTTTTCAAACATGACATTTGGGTTCTTAGGCAAAAAGAATTTTCATAAATGTCAATTAAGCTTACAGCATGCATATTCTTCATTTATAAGATTTTTTTTCAGATGTGTCTAAGAAATATTCAAGAAGAAAAAAATATTCAAGAAGAGTCTCTTAATTACCTAATTCATTTAGACTATTCATAATCCTGAAAATTCTTGTAACCCCTTCCTCCACACTCTTCTCTCCCAGACTCATTTATAAGGATAACACAGATCCACTTTTCCGGCTGAGCTAGAGATCTCTGTAAACTCTTGTTTGTAGTACTTAGACAGTCTCATCCTCTACATAAGAGGGCCTAAGAGCTCTTAGTAGTACACTGAGACAGACAAAGCTGTATTTCAAAAAGGAAGTCATTTTGAAATTTTGACTTAAATCACAGCATATCAGTTCATAAATTTATGGTAAGGGAAAAAATAAGCTCATTGATCCACTTTGCTCATTTTAAGATGTCTTATATATTATTAAGGCATGGTGTAGGGTAATTTGCCAACTTATGAGCTAGATAGTTCCCTATCATTTATGCTCATAATAGGCCTTAAGCAACATGACCTTTATTTGTGTCTGACACTCTTCCAAAAGTGTACTTACAAGAGAACAGGTGACAACATTGGTGCATATCACTATTTGCAGGAATCCCAGAAGATGTTTCTGTCCTCTTTCCCTTCCATTTTTGCATTCACTACCTCACATTGTCAAACTACAAATGACATGAAGATAAAAGCTAAACAAACAACTTTCTTATGGGTAAGAACTCACCCTATCTGTATATTGTATCACAACTCCCACACTGTAGTGAGCATGCACAGAGAGATATTTAACAATTTTTGTGTATAGGTGGCAAAACAAGAACTAAGATGATTCAAGTTTATATTTGTTAAAGGCACCCGACATTTCTGCATGTTTACTAAATGTTTTACGGCTTCAGCAACATTGTTGTAAATCAGATGAACTCTGTACGGCTTAGTGTATATCCATTTCTAAAGTTCTTGGGGACTGGGGGTAGAGAAAAACTCAAGACAAATAATCATTTAACATAGCAATAATGAATATGGTTTACTACAGGCAGCAGGGAAAAAAATGAGCGTTCATTGTATTTGTGTCTTTTATTTCACAGCACCAGATGTTTCTATAGATTTTTTTTTTAACTAGGTCAGTGGCTCAAGTCACTAAATCAAATTCCTCCAAGCTATGAAAAGCATAATATTTGACTCACATTAATTTATTGTTTGAGGAAAACACACAAATAAATATCACTGTAGGAAACCTTAATTCCAAACAAAGATCAGATCAGTAGTCCTCATTTAATGACATGAATATGCATGAATTTAACAGTACATATTTTTTAAAATATTAAGGGTAAGACTAGTTAATTTAGATTTAAAAAAAATCTCTTTAGAATAACTAAAGATAACCAGAGAAAAGAAAGTTTGGCTTTCTAAGAATATGAAATTGTAATCAATTGAAAAGTTCTTTAACTTTTGACTATTAGATGGTAAAGTTTTATCGAATATGTTATGTGGGAAAAAATAGGACATTATCACAGATTTAGAAGGACAATTGCTTTTTTGTTTATTACAAATATATTTCTCATCTTCTTTCCTATTTTACTTTTAAACTAAGGACAGTACTGATAGAAAATGAAAACACTTTAAACATTCAATTCTTTTGTTTTAAACCTTAAAAGTTAACCCATTCCAAGGCAGGAGAGAGTTGAGCTTATTGCTCTCTTGTTAAGTTCCACTGTCACAGAGATAAAGGTATTGTGGAAGTTTAAAAGTAAATAAGAAAATACTGAATATTTTTAAATGTACAAAAAAAGATATAAATGTATATGTCAACATCAAATTGTACCCCATAAATATATGCCATTACAATGTAGCAATTGAAAAACATTTTTTAAAAAGTTTAAAAGTTGACCATATTTTAAAGGAATGAGATACATCTCCTATTTTGAAAAACTTAGAAATAATTCATTTTATAATTAAGTGCATTAATTCTATGATTTAACTCTAATTTAGTTTATTAAGTTCAGCCTTTGTAAATTTTCTATATTTCTACATATACATCTCATGCCAAAAAAGAAACATAAAAGCCATTTGATGAAACTAAAACT